GGGAGAGGCCCGCCAGCTCCAGCAGGAAAGCGCCGGTGGAGTGAGGGGTGCACGTGTTCATCCGGAAATCCTTCCGGCTGGCGAGGATCTCCCCTTTCCAGCTGAAGGCAAAAACCCGTCAGGGGAATCCCACCCCCCACCCCCCTCCCCAAGATCAGGCTCTGCCCTGTCCTGCTGGGAGCCCGGGGACAGGGGGGCACTGGCCTGCCTCGGGGAGAGCCCCGCTGGGGCATCCCCAAAGCCAAAGCCCCCCCTGCTCTGGGCGGGGGGGGATCAGCCCCAGCCCTCCCGCCAGCCAGTCAGCCTCTCTCTCCCAGTAAGGTCCTGCCCAGGCTCTCCAGTGCAGCCCCAGCTTGTCACTCCCCAGGGACACCCCCCTGCCCTGCCTTCACCAGAGGCAGCTCCCAGCAGGACACACATGCCCATGGGATTATCCTGCCCTCCCCGCCCAGTTTTAACTGGGAAAGCGCCACTTCCTCACCTAAGGGAAAGCCCGACCCTACTACAGCAACGGGGGGCGGGGGGGGACACACACACCAGCTAAACCCGAGGGGTGGGGTGACTGAGCGGCACGGCGAGGGGGGCTTTCACCTGAACAGAGGGTTTTCTTTCTTCTCAGACTCTTCCAGGGGGACCAAAGACATCGGAGTCAAGGGGACGATGTTCACAGCCTGCGGAGGTGGCAGGAGGGCAGCCAGAGCCCGGGGAAGGCGCCCAGCACGGCCCAGGTGCCACCGTCCCCGCGGAGCTGGGCCGGGCCAGCGGCCACCCCCGGCACCTGTGGGGTTCATCCGGGCAAACCCGGACACAGGGAGGGACAGAAAAGGAGAACGGCTTCCCTTACCTCGGGCTGATAGTCCTCCTTCATGTCCACGTTCCCCTGGCTGCCATCCCCGATGTCGTCCAGGGAGAGGAACTGCTGAGAGAGCCCCCCCCACCCCACCGTCACGCCGGCTCACACCACTGCTGGGGGACCCCAACCAGAGTTAGGGGGTGGATGTGGGGGGCTCCCAGGGCGGCACCCCGCGAGCAGAGACAACAGAGCTGCAGGGTTTGAGCTGCTGGTGCGGGGTGGGAGCGGGGCTGGGGCGAGCAGCGCTGCGAGGGCAGCGCCGGTGGGGAACGAAGGTGCCCCCTCCCACGGGAAGGGGCCAGCCCAGCTGCGGCCCTGGGGACAAAGGCCCAAGAGACAGCCCGAGGGAAGGGTTCAGGGAAGGCAGGCTGAGCCCTGGGGTGAAGGGGGGTCCCCACGCACCGCACGGGGGCTCCGGGAGGGCTGCGGGGTGGCAGGTCACCTCCCTTGGGGACCAGCACTGCAGCGCGGCGACAGAAAGCTCACGGAGCGCTCCCGCCGCGCCCCGGGGGGTAGATGTGGGGCTAAACACCCCCTGGCAGGGAAGACCAGAGCGCCCGCAGGAGGTGGCAGTCCCGCTCAGAAAGGGGGGGGAGCTGGGGGCACCCCCAAATCAGCTCTGCCCGTGCACACAAGCCGCCCAGCGCCGCGGCACGCCCGCCCCCTCTCACCTCATCCTGCATCCCAAAGCTCGCGTTGGCGTCTTTGCCGTCCGGCCCCACGGAGCAGTGCTGCCTTTCCCGCCTGAGACAGGGAGCAAAACACAAGGTCAGGGTGAGCGGCAGCCTCGGCAGCAGCTTCACGTTGCTCCAGCCCGAGCAGAGCCTGTTTCAGGTGCTCTGCCTCGGCCTCCCCGAGCAACCCGCTGCGCTTCCTACAAGCCGAGGCGGGACGGTGCCCTCAGGGAGCTCGTTTGCGTGGTTGGAGCCAAGCGGTCGTTTGGCAGCACAAAAACTTCATTTTCCCCCCAAATCCGCTGCCTGGGCACAGATGGGAGGGTGCTGCTGGCCGATCTCGCCGTGGCCGAGCGCGCGTTCGGAGCCAGCGCCAGGCTGGCAACAGGCAAGCGCCACAGGGCAGCCTGAGCCCTGCAGCAGCAGGGCCCCACGCTCGGCAAGAAGGGGGAAAATAAATCACAAGTGGCTTCGCCGCACGAGGCAGTTTATTCTCTGCTGAGCTTGGCACTGCAGCAAGAAAACCGCTGGCAGAATCGCAGGGATGAGCATCGCCCCGGGCCCTCCGGCTGAGGCAAGTCCCACCAGGGGCTTTTCCTGCAGCCACAAAACCCCTTCTGCTTCAAAGAACCTTTTACAGGGCTGGAGACTGATGTTGCAATTAGTTTTTTTTCTTAAAGCAACGATTGCCCTGAGGGCAGAGCGGTCAGTTGAAGGAGAAGGCTCCGAGCGAGCGGGGTCAGCGGCCTTCCCACCGCTCTCTCTGCGAGTAAAGAGCGGTTTCATCCTCAAAAGAGGACGCGCAGCCCGCGCGCTCTCGGGGCAGGAGCTACTGAACCTTGGCAGGAAAGAGAGCAGGGAAGGGCTCGGGCCCTACCGCAACGCAGAGGGGGAGAGCAGCGAGGCAGAAGCGGGCGGCAGCGGTTCGGGGCCGAGGCAGCGCTGGAAGGCGGCAGCCCCAAGCGCCCGGCAAAGCTGCCCCCGGGTCAAGGAGGAGCTCGACTTACTTTTTATTGGAGATGAAGTCGAGCGTCTGGTAGACCAGTGAGTAGAGATACTCCACCTGCAAAACAGCAGCCAGACTCCTGGAGAAAAGGAGAAAGCAGCTCCCAGAAAAGCTACTCCGCTCATGCCGGGACGAACCACCACCCTCCTCCTATCCCCAGGCAGCTGGAGCTCAACCTCTTGATAATCTCGCCATTCTTTTCACTGTCTGAGCCATTCTGAGTCCAGATTCGGGGAAGGAGGGTGTTTGTACTCCACCCTCTAGGGAAGAAAAGTGCCAAAACAGCAAAATTCTTGCTCTTTTCCAGGCTGCCAACCCCAACACGCCTAAAGCGACTGAATTTCGGGACGGCAAATCCTTTCCCGTCGGTTCGTCATCGTTACGCTCAAGTCTTTGAAAACCACCGGCAGCTCCCCCCGAGCAGCCCCCGCGGAGCTCGGCCCCGGCTGGGGGACACCACGAGGGCAGGGGGACAGGACCGGGGCCGCGGGGCGCCCGCCGGCCCCCTCACCTTCCTGCTGTAGATGCAGGCAGAGCCCTGGATCAGCAGCGCCGCCTCTGTGAAGTTCATGGTGGTTTTCCCGTTGTCGAAGGAAATGTAGATATTGTCCAGCTGCGAAAGACACGAAAAAACGACAACAGGAGGCCGGGTCACGGGGTGGGGCGGAGGGTGGGGCAGCACAGGCACAGACAGAAAGCCCCCCACCCCGCGCAGGCAGGGCTGACGGCCTCACCCCCATCCTCCCCCGCGCCGGGGACGCAGGGCTCCCCCCTCACCTCCTCCAGGTACTCGGCGAGCTGCATGGCCACATCCACCTCCCAGTTCTTGGTGAGGTCGTGGATGGGCTGCAGGAGGTGCATGAAGCGCAACTCCACCTCCTCCATGGCGGCCCCGCAGACCCCCGGCGGCGTCTGAAGGGGCTTAAACCCCCCGTTGCCCGACGGACAATCCTGCAGTTGAACTCGGAAGGCAGCGGGTCACGTAGAGCCAGGCGCGGCCGGCACCCCGGGACAGCCAGCTGGATCTCAACAGAAGTACAGATTTTCACTAAACAGAGAATCGTAGAATTGCTGAGGTTGAAAAGGACCTTGAAGACCATGGAGGCCAGCCGCTAACCCAGCCCTGCCAAGCCCACCGCTAAACTGTGTCCCCAGGCGCCTCGGCTACAGGAATTCAAATACCCCCAGGGATGGTGACTCCACCTCTTCCCCCAACAGCCTGTTCCAGTGCTTGGCAACCCTTTCCGGGAAGAAATTTTTCCTAATACCCAATCTACCCTGGAGCAACTTCTGGCTGTTTCCTCTTGTCCTGTTACTTGGGAGAAGAGTCTGACCCCCACCTCGCCACAGCCTTTCAGGGAGTCGTAGAGAGCAATGAGGTCTCCCCTGAGCCTCACAGAAAAGCAAAGCACCACCAGAGCAGCACCTAAGAACCCAGAAAACTAACATTGTCTTTCACTTGGCTTCCTTGTCCCTACATCAGAGACGTGGATTTGGGGGGATGGAGCACTCGGGGGGGATAAGGAACTGGCTGGGTGGTCAACAGCTCGATGGCCAAGTGCAGAGCGGTGACGGGCGCCGTTCCTCGGGGGTCGGGGCTGGGCCCGGCGCTGTTTCACATCTTTGTTGGGGACACGGGCAGTGGGATCGATGCCCCCTCAGCAAGTTCACCCGTGACCCCGAGCTGCGTGGTGGGGGACACGCTGAGGGCAGGGGGGGCATCCCGAGGGACCTGGGCAGGCTGGAGAGGGGGGCCCGGGCAAACCCCGTGGGGTTCAACAAGGCCAAGGGCAAGGTCCTGCCCGGGGGTCGGGGCGATCCCCAGCACAAACCCAGGCTGGGCCCTCGAGGGGTGGCTGGAGAGCAGCCCCAAGGAGAGGGGCTGGGGGGGTTGGTGGGGGGAAAACTGCCCATGAGGCAGCCCCGTGCGCTGGCAGCCCAGAACCCACCCGTGCCCTGGGCTGCAGCCAGAGCAGGGGGGGCAGCAGGGCCAGGGGGGGGATTCTCCCCCTCTGCTCCGCTCTGGGGAGACCCCCCTGCAGTGCTGGGGCCAGCTCGGGGGCCCCCAACAGCAGAAGGACCCGGAGCTGCTCGAGCGGGGCCAGAGGAGGCCACGGAGATGCTGGGGGGGCTGGAGCAGCTCCCCTGGGGGGCCGGGCTGAGAGAGTTGGGGGGGTTCAGCCTGGAGAAGAGAAGGCTCCGGGGAGCCCTTCGAGCGGCCTCCCAGGGCTTAAAGGGGGGACAGGAGAGAGCGGGGGGGACTCTTTATTGGAGAGGTGACGGTTTTAAACTGCCAGAGGGCAGATTTAGGTCAGATCTAAGGCAGAAATCGTTCCCTGTGCGGGGGGTGAGGCGCTGGCCCAGGGTGCCCAGAGCAGCTGTGGGTGCCCCCTCCCTGGAAGGGTTCCAGGCCAGGTTGGACGGGGCTGGGAGCCCCCTGGGCTGGGGGAAGGGGGCCCTGCCCGGGGCAGGGGGGGGGCACCGGGTGGGATTTAGGGTCCCCTCCAGCCCCAGCGCTCCGGGACACGCAGGCCGCCCGCTAACCCGCCCCAACTCACCGCCCGCCGCCTCAGGCCGCGATCCCCGCCGCCATTTTGTGTTTCCCGCCCGACGTGACGCAGGGAGGGGCGGGGCGGTACGCGCTGACACCGCCCGTTACGCGCTGACGCAGCACGCCGCGGTCGCGCCGGGCCGCCGGTGCCGGTGCCGGTGCCATGGCGGGGGGGGGACCCGCCGCGCCGGCCGCGCTCGCTGTTCTTGGCCGGGCTGGCCGCTGCCTATCTCGCCGCCTTCGCCTCGCTCTACGTCCAGATCCCCGGTACGGCGGGGATGGTGCTGGGGGGGGCGGTTCTGTGGCGGGGGGGGGGGGGGGGGGGCGGCGCGACCCCTAGCCCGCGGGGCGGGTAGGCCGCACCGGGCCGGGGCGGGTAGGCCGCACCGGGCCCGGCCCGGTTGGGCCTCACCGGAGGAACCCGCGCTGCTCCCCCGTGTCCCCGCTCCGGCGCGGCCGGGCGGGCTCTTCGCGGGGCTCCACGTGGGCTCTTCCCCCCCCCCCCCCCCCCCCCCGCGTTGCAGCTCCGTTCCCCGTTGCGTGAGGAAACTGGGACGCCGCCGCGCTGGCAGCACCGGAGCTGGGGCAGCGGGGCTCCGTGTAGGCTCCCCCCCCCGCCCCGATTTTGTGGCTCCATTCCCAGTTGCGTGAGGAAACTGGGAAGCCGCACCTGGGGGAAGCTTTGGGGGGGGGGGGGTGCTCTTCGTTCTGCTTCCCTCCAACCCCCGGTGCCCCCGTCCCCCCGCAGGGCTGTACGGGCGGGACGGCATCCTGCCCGCCCGCAGGGTGCTGCGCCCCGGCGGGAGGGGGCTGTGGGAGCAGCTGCGCGATTCGCCCACCCTGCTGTGGCTCAGCCCGCGCCTGGGCCTGGACACGGAGCTGGGGATGGAGCTGCTCTGCCTCCTCGGCACGCTCGCCTCCCTCGGCGCCTTGCTCTTCGAGTCCCTGCGCGACAGCCTGCTCTTCGCCCTGCTCAGGGTGCTCTACCTCTCCCTCTACCAGGTAGGAGATTGGGGGGGGGGGGGGGGCTCGGGGTGCCTCGGAGGGGTCAGAGCTGGGGTTTAGCGGGGTGGGGGGGGCACGGCGCCGGTGCATTCACATCGTCCTGCCGCGCTCTGCTTCCCCCCGCAGGGCTGGGGGACGGTGCTGGCAGCTCCCTGCCTGGCGTGGGGGGGTTCAGCGGGATGAACCCCACCCTCCAGGGCCGGGGCAGCTCCGGCCCCTGCCCGCGTCCCACATGCCAGCCCCTTTTCCCCGTGAGAGCTCCGTGCCCCCCCAGCCCCGAATCGGCCTTCCCCGGCCCCACAGAGGAGCTGGGGTGAGTCACAGTCTGCGGCGGTGGCGGGAGGAGGGTTTCCTCTTCCCTCTGAAACCAGCGGAATTTGAGAAGAAGAAACCGCCTGTGCTTGGAGATCCCTCCCGGGCTGGGGGGCTGGCGCTGCCAGCACCTCACCGGGCCACGTCCGGCACCGGGCGTGCATTTGGGAGACCAGGAAAGCGGGGTGCCAGCCGTGGGAGTGGGGTTTCTCCCGTGACGCCGTTACCCCGTTCCCTCTGAACTGCTCAGGGCCTCCCCAGCCCATGGAGGGGGTGGGGGGCACCCTTTTGAGCGGCCCCCCTCGCACAGGCAGCGTGCCTTGGCCGGGAGAGGAAGCAGCCCTGCGTGACATCCCCCCCAACCCGTGGGGACTCACGCCTCCTCCCAGCCCCGTCTGCCGGCCGGGCCTTCCTCTTCCTCGCTCCCTTTTAAGGTGATGCTGGAGAGAACGTCCCTGCTCCGGCGGCGGCAGGAGGGGCACCCCTGGGAGCACCCATGCAGTGCGGAGCAGGGCTCCCCTGCAGCCCCCCCAGCCCCCCCCCCCCCCCCCCCCCCCCCCCGGTGACGCTGCGGTGCCTGGCACGGCCGCCACGGACCGGGGAGCATCCTCTTGTTTCCCCGGGCCGTGCCTCCGTGGCATCCTGGCAGCGAGTTGAGGCCACCGCTCTGCTCTTCGGGTTTGGCCTGTGGCCCAGTTGTGGGAAAGGAGCTGCTGGCGGGACTGGGAGGGTGCTGGGGGCGGGGGGGGGGAAGGATCCACAGTCATCCTGCTCCCCCTTCTCCGTGGGGTGGGCTTGGGGAAGGGGCTGGGGGCCAAACCTGCGCCCCGCTCACCGCTCTGCTCCCCCTCGCCACAGGTGGGGCAGGTCTTCCTCTACTTCCAGTGGTAAGTCAGCCCCCACATCGCCCGTTTTGGGGTGGGGGGGCCTGTGGGCAGCGGTGACCCAGCTGGCCAGCCCCCACCCCCCACTGGCACCCTGGGGAGCTCCCTGCCCCACGGGGTCTGCGGCCCCGGGGTGGCGGTGGGGGACAGCGGTGTGCCCCCGCAGGGACAGCCTCTTGCTGGAAGCGGGGTTCCTGGGGGTGCTGGTGGCCCCCCTGCGCCTGCTGAAATGGGGGTCCACGGCCTGGCGGCCCCACGACAGCCTCACCTTCTGGCTGGTGCGCTGGCTCCTCTTCCGACTGATGTTCGCCTCCGGCGTGGTGAAGCTGACCAGCCGCTGCCCCACGTGGTGGGGGCTCACGGGTGAGGGGTGTCACACGCTTTGGGGGTGTCATGGGCACGGGGAGGGGGGGGGGAGCGGGGGCGTTGCCTCCTGTGCCCCGTAGCCGGTTGCTGCTGGCACCCCTCCCGCGTTGGGCACAGCTCCGTGCCGGCGCTGCCGGCCCCGAGCCGTGTCCCCGCGCCCCTCTCTGCGCCCCTGACCCCTCCCGTCCCCCCCCGCAGCTCTCACCTATCACTACGAGACCCAGTGCATCCCCACGCCGGGCGCCTGGTTCGCCCACCAGCTGCCTGTCTGGTTCCAGAAGCTCAGCGTGGTGGCCACCTACGTCATCGAGATCGCCGTCCCCCTCCTCTTCTTCGCGCCCATCCGCCGCCTCCGGCTCTTCGCCTTCTACAGCCAGGTGGGTGGGCACAGCGGGGTGCCGTGGGGGCTCCCCAAGGGCAGGGGGGGAGGCTCCTCGCCCACCTCTGGGTGCTGGTGGTGGCGGGGGGGGTGTCCCGTCCCCACCCCCCTCCAGCACTGTGACCCCACCTGCCTTCGCCCCTCCCCAGGTCCTGCTGCAGGTCCTCATCATCCTCACGGGTAATTACAACTTCTTCAACATGCTCACCATCGTCCTGGCCTTCTCCCTGCTGGACGAGGAGCACGTGGGGCGCTGGCTGGGGCGCAGCAAGAGGAAGCACGCCAGCAGTGAGTCCCCAGGCACCCCGTTTGGGGCGGGGGGGGGGTCCCCTCTTTGCTCTGCCTGGGGTGGGGAGGGGACAGGCCACCCTCCCAGCTCAGTGCTGCAAGAGCTGCTGCCAGCACGGCTGCCCTGCCAGCCCCTGGGGTGGGGGGGTCTGTGCCCCTGGGGTGCTCAAGCCGGGGTCCCCCCTCTCCCCATGTTGGCTCCTTGGGTGGGGACGTGCACCCCTCCGTGCCGCGGTGGGCCGGGCTCGCTCAGCAGCCCCCCCCTGTGCCGCAGCCTGGCCCCCCAGCCTGCCGTCCCTCCTCTCCACTCTGGCGGAGCTGGGCACCTACGCCTTCCTGCTCTACTGGAGCGTCCAGTACTTCGGCCTGGAGATCAACTGGGAGAAGAGGCTGCTGGACTCCAAAGTGGGTACGTCACGGCTGCGCCCGCGGGGGTCCTGAACCTCTCCCCGGGGCGGGAGAGGGCTCCTCTCTGACCCCACGGGTGTCCCTTTGCTCCAGCCTTCACCTACCACGAGTTCACGACGTGGCTGCGGGCGGTGACCCTGCCGCTGGTGGGGCTGGGCTTCCTCTCGCTCTCCTGGGAGATCCTCTCTGCCATGTACAGGTGGGCGATTGGGGGGTGCTGGGCTCCCCCCTTGGGCCTCGTGGGAACGGGGCGGCCGGTCTGGGTGAGCCGGTGCCACCCCCGAGGGTGCAATTCGTGTGGGGAGGGACACTCCGAAATCGCTGGGGGGGGGGGGGCCAGCACGGGGTGATTTTGGAGGGGATTTCCTCTGCAGCGTCGGAGCGGGGCTGAGCCCTCCCGGGGCGGGGAGGGGGGGTGTGTGGCTCTGAACCCCACCCCTCGCAGCCAGACCCCCCGTTTCCTCCCCCCTCGCAGGTGTGCCTGCGTCCGCGGCTGCTTCTGGAAGCTCTGGGCCACGCTGCAGTGGGCTGTCTTCGCCACAGCGACCGTGGGCATGTTTGCCATCAGCCTGGTGAGCGGGTGGGGGGCCCTGGGGAGGGCAGAGCGCGCCTTTGTTTTGGGGTACAGAGCACGGGACGCTCGGCCTGCCCCCCCCCCCCCCCCCCAAAAAAAACACCGGGGTGACGGCTCCACGCTCCGCCGCTCCCCAGGTGCCCTTCACCTACATTGACTACGAGTCCAACGGCAAGCTGTGGCCCGGCATCCACCAGATGTTCAACGCGGTCGAGCGCTTCCAGGTGGTGAACTCCTACGGGCTGTTCCGCAGGATGACGGGCGTCGGGGGCCGGCCCGAGGTGGTGCTGGAGGGCAGCTACGACAAGCAAACCTGGACGGTGAGCTGCCCACCCCCCCTGAGCTGCCCACCCCCCCCAGGGTCGCACGGATGGGCCCCTTGAGACCATTGAGTCTGACCGTTGAGTGAGTCCAACCGTTAACCCAACCGCTGCCAAACCGTGCCCCCCGAGTGCCACGTCTGCACATTTAAATACCCCCAGGGACGGTGACTCCACCCCTCCCTCGCACAGCCCGCTCCAGTGCTTGACAACCCTTTCAGTGAAAAAAGTTTTTTTCCTAATATCCAATCTAACCCTCCCGTAGCGCAACTTGAGGCCGTTCCCTCTTGTCCTGTCGCTTGTTTCTTGGGAGAAGAGGCCGACCCCCACCTCGCCCCATCCTCCTTGCAGGTAGTTGGAGAGAGTGAGAAGGTCTCCCCCCAGCCCCCATTTCTCCAGGATAACCCCCCCCCCCCAGTTCCCTCAGCCGTTCCTCCCAGAACTCTTGCTCCAGCCCCTTCAGCTTTGTTGCCCTTCGGACACGCTCCAACCCCTCAAGGTCTTCCCTGTAGTGAGGGGCCCAAAACTGAACCCCGTTTTCAAGGTGGGGCACAATCGTGCCCGAGTCCTGCTGGCCGCGCTACCGCTGATAGGAGCCCGGATGCCACTGGCCACCCGGGCCCGCTCCTGGCTCCCGCTCGGCCGCCTGCCGCCCAACACCCCCCTGTCCTTTCCCACAGGAGATCGAGTTCATGTACAAGCCGGGCAACGTCAGCGCGGCCCCCCCCGTGGTCGCCCCCCACCAGCCCCGCCTCGACTGGCAGATGTGGTTCGCGGCCCTGGGCCACCACAGCAGCAGCCCCTGGTTCACCAGCTTCGTCCACCGCCTGCTGCAGGGCAAGGAGGATGGTGAGAGGGGCTGGGGGGGCCCTGGGGCAGGGGCTGGCACCCAGGCACCCCAACGCTTTGGGGTGCCCCCGGGGCGTCGGGGGCAGGGGCTGGTGCCCAGGCACCCCGGCACTTCAGGGTGACCCCACAGCGAGGGGGGCAGACTCGGGGGCGGAGCGGGGGCTCAGACCCCCGGGGTGGGCAGAGCTCACACCATGTCTCTGCCAGTGATCCGCCTGGTGCAGATCGAGGGGTCCCAGTACCCCTTCAGCGCTCGGCCCCCCCTCTACCTCCGCGCCCAGCTCTACAAGTACTGGTTCACCAGCAGCGCCCAGGGCAGGTAAGCAAGGCCTGCGGCGGGGCGGGGGGGAGCTGCTTCTCCCTGGGTTAATTAGCTCATTAACTCCCCCCCCCCCCGGGGCTGGGGGACACTGAGCTGTGTGTCCCCCCCCTTCCCCAGCCCGGGCCCTGCGCCGTGGTGGCGGCGGCAGCACCTCCACCAGTTCTTCCCCACCGTCTCACTGGGTGACCCCACGCTGGAGAGCCTGCTCAGCCAGCACGGGCTGAAGGTAGGGCCGGGCACCGTGCCCCCCTCCTCCCCCCCCCCCCCAGGGCACCCCTGCCTTTCCCCACCACCCCCCCCCCCCCTCGCTGTGTGTCCCCCCCTCAGGACAAGACACCCCTGAAGCGCCCGGCGGACACCTTCCTGCCACAGCTGCTGCGCAGCCTCCGCCAGCTCAGCCGCCCCTTCTCCGGCCCCGCCGTCCTCTGGTCCCTCTACTCCGTGGTGGCCACCGTTTGGCTCCTGCGAGCCCTGGGCCACCGGCCGCGGGGGGGGGGGCGCGCCCCCCGCCCGCCACAAAGGCCCCAGGCGGGGGGAGCCCGCGGACCGGGGGGGGCGGCGAGAAGAACGGGCAAGTGCGGCGGAAAGAAGGGGAGGAGAAGGGCGAGGGCCGGGCGCGGGGGGCGGCCGATGGCGACGGCCCCCGTGCCGCCAAGAAGAGGAAATAACTCCCCCCCACACCACATCTCACACCCCCGGACTGGGGGTACTGCCCCCCCCTCGCCCCCGGGGGGGGGGGGCGGTGTGGTGGGGTGGTCCCAAGCTGGGGTGCAGGCAGCCCCCCCGGGGTGAGCTCACTGCTCTGTCCCCTGCCAGTGCCTTCGCGCACAGCGTGGTCCCGGCAGCGCTGGGGACCCCCGGCCCCCCCCTGCCCGGCTCCCCCAGGGCCGGAGCTGCCCCCCCACCCCCCCCCCCCGCGGCCCCCCCACCCCATCCTGGGCCCTGGGGGGGGATGCTGGGTGCTGGCAGCTTCGGGCAGCCCCAGCCATGCAGAACCAGTTCTCCCTGTTGTCCTGCCGGGGGGGCCCCCTTGGCTGCCCCCACCCCCTGCTCGGGGCAGTTTGGGGGGGGCTACTCCCACCCTCCTGCTTGGGGCAGTTTGGGGGGGCTACCCCCGCCCCAGTCCCAGAGCCCCCCCTGCCCCTGTGGGAGGGCTCTGCCTGTAATGTGCTTCCCAGCAGCTCGGCCATGAGCACAGAGATTTCCTATAATTTTCTAAATAAAAGCCTTTGACATTCCAGCCCCCTGGCTCTCCCTGGGGGCGGGGGGGGGGGGGTCCTGCCCCTGCCCCTTTGTCCCCACGGTGGGGGGGGGGGGGGAGCAGCCCCCTGGGGGGCTGCCAAGGCTGCCACCAGCACTGTGGGGGTGTGACAAGGGGGTTTATTGAACAGCCCCGGTGCCCCACCCAGGCCAGGTGGCTGTGCTGGGGGGAAATGTGGGGTGCTGGGGGGTAGGGGGGGGGACTGGGGGGTGGGGGGGGGGACAGGGGTCCCCCCCCTCACCAGCAGAGCTGCCCGGGGCAGTACTTGTCGATCAGGGACTGGTAGTAGCCGCGGAGCTGCTGCACGTCGGGCAGCTCCTCCTGCTTGGTGTAGAGGTCGAACTTGCTGTGGGAGTGAGGAGGGGGGGGTGTCAGTGGGGGGGGGGTCTTGGCCAAGCCCCCCCCCCACTCCCTGGGCCACGCACTTGAGCTCCCTGACCCAGGGCAGCATGCGGAGATCCTCCTCGGTGCAGAGGTGCCGGTAGTCCCCGTGCGTGTGCCAGGGGTAGAAGGAGTGGAAGCGGACCATGTAGAAAGCCTGGGGGGGGGGACACACACACACACACACATTCCAGCCCAATTTGGGGTGCCGACCCCCCCCCCCAGCCCTGGTGGGGGTCAGACCCCCCCCCCCCCCCCCCCCCCCCGTGCCCTTACCTCCTTGGGCAGGGCGAAGTTGTTGAACTTCATGACTCTGTACATGTACTCTGGGGAGAGAGGGGGGGGGGCACACACACACGGGCACCCCCAAAGCTGCAGCCTGCCCCCCCCCAGCTGGGGCTGCCCCCCCTGCCCCACACAAAGCACTCCAGGCCCAACACCCCCAGCAATGGGGACTCTGGGGAGCTGGGTGCTGCCTCCCCCCAGCGCATCGCTGCCCCATTTTGGGGGTGAAGGGCCCTGCCCTGAGGAGGGGCCCCCCCCCTGTGTGCCCCCCCCCCAGCCCTTACCATCATGTCCCCAGGACATGAGGACGTTCTCCAGGCCGCAGTGAGGCTGGTACATCCCATACTCGGTGCTGGGGAGGGGGCCGGGTCAGGGGGTCACAGCTGGACCCCTTCCCCAGCTTTGACGTGGGCTGGGGAGCGGGGAGAACGGCCCCCCCCCCAGTGCCCCCCCCCCAGCACCCAGCCTGGGGGTCCGGCCTCACCTGTACAGGGGGTCCCTGGTGTCGGGGTTGTCATGGAAAGTGGAGTCCCCAAAGACCACGGACTTCTGCACCTTGCAGCCCACGGGGAAGGTGTCCCCCACCACGGCCCACTGCGGAGGGAGGAGGGGGAGGTGACGGGGGGGGGGGGTTTGGGGGGGTCCCCCATACCCCTCCTGCCCCCCTCCTTGCCGTCCCCCTCACCTGGGGCTCCCCAAACAGCGCCAGCACCTTCCCCAGGTCGTGCAGCAACCCCACGAGGTGGAACCAGTCTGGGGGCGAGTCGGGGCCGTCACCCCGGGGCTGGGGGGCCGGGGGGGGGGGGGGCAGGGGGGGTCCCCAGCAGCCCCTACCCTTGTCGGGGTGGGCGCGGCGGATGCCCTCGGCCGTTTGGTACGCGTGGTAGGAGTTGGGGAAATCCACGTCGGGGTCGGACTCGTCCACCAGCTGGTCCAGCAGCTCCAGCGCCTCCATGGCGCCCATCCGGCGCAGGGAGCAGCTCCCGTACTGGGCGCTCTGGGGACACGGGGGTGGGGGGAGAGGGGGGGCCTGGGGATGGTGACCCCCCCCCAGCCCCGTCCCACCCCAAAACCCCTTGGGACCTTCCTCAGAACAGGGAGGGGGGCGCCCCTCAAACGGGTTGGGACGCGACACGGGGTGCCTGGGGGGTTGGGGGGGGTGGTATGTGTTGTGTGTCCTCCCCGCAGTGTGGGGGGGGGGGGGGGCCGGGGTTCCCAGGCTGGCCCCCCCGGGTCGGGGGCGGGGGGGGGGGGGGGGGGGGGGGGGTCGCACCTTTTTCCGGACGAAGGCGACGGTCTGGTGGGTGTGCATCTGCAGGTACGTGCTGTACACGCGGCCCAGCAGCTTCCCCCTCCTGCGGCACAGCGGGGGGCTCGGGGGGGCTCCTGGGGGGCAGGGGGGAGCCCCCCCAAAGTCCCTCCGGGCCTGGGGCAGCAGCTGGGCTCTTCCCGCCCCCCCCCAAGGCTGCAAGACCCCCCCCCGACCCCCCGGCTGGTGCAGGGCCCCCCTGACCCCCCGCGGCAGCGCGGCCGGGGCTCACCGTGTAGTTCCGGTACTGGGCCTTGGCCCGGCCAGACTCGGGCCCCTCGGAGGGGGAGGGGGCGGGGTCCTGCGGGGGGGGGGGGGGGGGGGCGGGTGTCAGCGGGGCCCGATCCTGGGCCCGGCTGCGTGGCACTGCACGGCGCTGCACCACACTGCAAGGCACTGTGTGGCACTGCACGGTGCGGCACTGCGCGGTGCTGCATGGCAATGCCCGGCGCTGCACAGCAGTGCACTGCACTGCACTGCACCGCACCGCACCGCACCGCACTGCACAGCACTGCAGAGCACAGCAAAGCACAGCACTGCACAGCACCGCACTGCACTGCACTGCACTGCACAGCAAAGCACAGCACTGCACTGCACAGCACCGCACTGCACTGCACTGCACAGCAAAGCACAGCACTGCACAGCACCGCACTGCACTGCACTGCACTGCACAGCAAAGCACAGCACTGCACTGCACAGCACCGCACTGCACTGCACTGCACAGCGAAGCACAGCACTGCACAGCACCGCACTGCACTGCACTGCACCGCACTGCACAGCACAGCACCGCACAGCACAGCACTGCACAGCACAGCACTGCACTGCACAGCACTGCACTGCACAGCATAGCACAGCACTGCAGTGCACTGCACTGCACAGCACAGCATAGCACTGCACAGCACTGCACAGCACCTCACAGCACTGCACAGCACAGCAGAGCACAGCACTGCGCCCCACCGCACTGCGCCGCACTGCACAGCATCAGGCAGTGCTGCCCCACTGCAGTGCGTGGCGGGTCCCACCCTGCCGGGGTGCTGAGCCGGGGGGGGCGGGGGCGCTGCTGGTCTGGGGCAGCAGCTCCCGCGAGTCGCTGCCTCGGCCCCCCCGCAGCGAGACCGGTGGGTGCAGCTGAGCCCGAGGGCGCTGCACGACCCCCCCCCCCCCCCCGGCCCCGCCCGGGGACGGGCACCCCCGCGGCTGCGGGACCCCCTGCCCCGCCCGGGGGGCGAGCGTTCCCTCGCTCCCCGTGGGGCCGGGACCCACTCGGGGTGTTTTCCCCATGGGGCTGGCACCCCCCCCATCGCAGGGAGGACATCGCCGAGGGGCTCGGGGGGGTTCTGCTGCGCCCTCCGGCTCCACGTGCCGTCCGTGGGTACCCGGGAGCACCCCGCCCCCCCGAGGGGGAGACGCAAGTGGGGTCTGGCCCCGCGCTGTGGGGCGATGCAGACGGGTCCGACCCCCCCCCCCCTCCCCACACACACACACACGCGTGGGAGCCCCCCGAGGTGTGGGGTGCTGGGTCCCCCCCGCCCGTACTCACTGCCGGGAGCCTCCTCATGCTGGCGGGGGTGGGGGGCGGCTGCCGGGCCCCCCCCGCTTTTATCCCCACGGCGGGGGGGCGGCGCGGGGGGCAATCGCTCACCAGTTAACCGGCCCCCGGTTAATGTTTGAGCCCGCGGCACCGGGCGCGGGGGGCTGCTGCTCCCCGCGGGTGGGCAGGGGCTGCCGGGGAGCCCACGCTGCAGTGTGTCCCCCCGAGCTGGGGACCCACGGCCGCGTGGGACGGTCTCGTCAGCCACGGCCCGCGTTGGGGGCTTTGGGGGTGTGTGTGGGGGGGTCACCGCGGCCGGGCACGTCCCCTCCCGGGGCCACGGGGTCCTGCCGGGGGGGGGTGGGGGTGGGCGTGCGTGGTCCGTGGGCGGGGCGTTGCACACGCGGGTGGGGGGGGCGTTGCACACGTGTGTGAACTGAGCAGGGCAGCGCTGCACGGCTGTCCCCGGTGTCCCCTCTCTCCCCCCCTGCCCAGCTGTCCCCCCCGTCTCCCCTTGTCCCCACTCTCCCCCCTGTCCCCCCGCTCCCCCCTGACCCCAATGTCCCCTCTGCCCCCCCCTGCACAGCTGTCCCCCATCTCCCCTGCTCCCCCCGTCCCCCCGCTCCCCCCTGTCCCCCCTCTCCCCCTTGTCCCCCCATCCCCGCTGTCCCCCCCACCCCCCCTGTCCCCAGTCTCCCCCAGTTCCCGCAGCACTGCCACTCCTGCGCTGGCAGTGGGGAGCAGCCGGGGCCGGTCACCCCCCCCCGTCCCCAGTGGCCGTGGCCCCCCCGTGCCCCTTCCCGTGGGAGCAGCGCCCAGCGCCGCCACCACACATGACCCCTCCTCGCACACTTTATTCTGCACAAAATCTGATTTTTCACTCGAAAAGCAGCGCAGCGGAGCGCTCCGCGCCGTGGTGCCCCCCCCCGGCCCCGCTCCGGGGCAGGATCCGGCCCGGGCACCCCTGGGGCTCAGCGGGGGCCCCTCTGCAGCTGGGGGGGCACCCAAGGGCCGGGGGGGGGGGGGGAGCAAAGGCCTCCGGTCCTCGTGTGTTGTGCTGTGTCCCTGTGGGTCCCCCACCCCGTGGGACAGTGCTGGGGTCAACCCCCGGCCCAGGGCCCCCCCCACCCCATGACAGCCGTGGGACACCCTGGCCCCCTCCTGCCCCATCAGCCGGCTCGAGCGAGGGCCGGGACCCCCGGGAAGGAGGAGAGAGGGGCCTGAGCAGCACCCCAGGGTGCTCCCCCCACCCTCACCCACTGTCGCTGCAGGCTGGGTGCTCCTGGGGGGGGGGGCTGGGGTGCTCTGAAGTTGCTCCCAGGAGGGACAAGGGTGCTCGAGGTGGGGGGGTGTCCAAGGGCACTGATGGGGGGGTGCGGGTGCTCCCAGGATGGCAGAGGGGGGTCCTGGCAGGAAGGATCAAGGTGCCGCCAGGCTGGGCTCCCCCCCCCCCCCGAGGGCGGGACCCATGTCCCCCCCAAATGCCCGTCCCCGTGCCAGGGCCGAGGGGAGCCTGGGATGGGGCCCGGGGGTGACTGGGGCCAGATCCCCCCCCCCCACCCTGCCAGGCCAGGGGGTGACAGCTCTGCCAGGGTGACACTCCCGGGGTGTCACAGCGTGGGGTGACAGGGGTACCCAGGGCCCCCTTGTGACCGCAGGCCACCACCACACCCCGGCCCCCACTGAGCCCACCCCCTCCGTGCTCCAGGGGGGCACAGCTCGTCACCAGTGGGGCTGGGGGCCACCCCCCGCCTGCCCCAGGGCACAGGGCAGGAGCTGGGCACGGGACCCCAGTGTTCCCTCTGCCCCCCCTGCTCGGGGATGACTCGCCCTCCCCCAGCACCCACCAGCACCCAGACCCCATCCCACCGCAGAGCTGGGGGCAGCGGGGGGGGGGGACACACACACAGCATCCTCTTTGATGAGAATGGGACCCCCCACGGCACCCCGGCCTCCGCCCTGGGAAGGGACCCCCGCGTGGGGAAGGTGCTGGGGGAGAGAGGTCCCCGCACTCTGGTCTTACAGGACCCCCCACCCTGTAGCCGTGGCGCCCTGGACGGACCCCGGGGGGGGGGGTCAGGAGGGGCGGGGGGGGGGGGGAACACGAGGGGGTGCTGTGGCAGGGTGCTGAGCTGCTGAGTCAGGCGGGAGTGGGGCCAGGGCCTCGGCCCCGCGCTCTTGCACAAGGCGCCGGCGCTGCTGCGGTCAGCAGGATCCCCCGCCGCCCCTTGGACCCGGCCCCGACAGCCCCGGCCGGCCGGGCCGCCACGGGCCACTGCTAGCCACCACGGGCCACTGCTAGCCACCACGGGCCACTGCTAGCCACCACGGGCCACTGCTAGCCACCGGCTCCCCAGCCTGCGGTCCTCTTCCCTCCGTGGGGCTGCGGCTGGCGACAGCGCGGGACCCCCTCCATGGGGACGCTCCTGGGGGCCCCGTGCCCCTGGTGGGGCCGTGGCTGGAGCCGTGCTGTGCCCCGGGGAAGGGAGGGGGGGCACCCAGCACCCCCAGAAAGGTGCAGAGGGAGCCCAGCCACATCTGACTCTAGAAGCGCTTTAGTGGGGGGGTGGGGGTGGGGGTGTGGTGGGGTGTGTCCCACGGGGCAGGGCGGGGGGATGCGGGGCCAGGTGCGCCCCCCCCCCCCCCCCCCCCCCCACTGCCTCACCCGTAGCTGTGGGGGCTGTTGGGGTTCATGGGGGACGAGTCCTGCCGCCCCGACTGGCCCATGAGCTGCCAGAGGCGGTGGCTCAGGTTCTGGACCTGGCAAGTGCCGAGGACGCAGCCCACCCGCAGCAGCTGCCCGTGCTGCAGCCGCCCCGACGCGTGCCGGCGGCCCCGGGGGTGCGGGGGGCTGTGCGGGGGGGGCAGGCGATGGGCACCGTGCCGGGGGGCCGCATGGCAGGCACCGTGCCGGGGGGCGAGCTTCGGGGGGTGCCGCGGGACCAAGAGTCTGTGCCAGGGGGTCAGGCGGGCACCGGGGCGGGGGGGGAGCTTCGGGGGGTGCCGCTGGCCCGGCGGTCGCTGGTGGGGGCTGCCGGGGGGCTGCGGCAGCGCGGGGGGCTGCAGTCCTGCGGGGTCCCCGAGGAGTGAGGCTGGGGAGGGTCTCCGGTCCGGGGGGTCCCTGCAAGAGAGCGGCAGCGGGGTCAGTGAGAGGGGGGGGCTGCATGGCACCGCGACAGCGGGGCTCACTGTGCCGGGGGGGGGTGCCATGGGGGGGGGTGGGGGGCACCTCGCTGGCACCTCCCGGCTGCTCTGCCCGTGGGCCTGCCGAGCCAGGAGGAGGAGGAGGATGAAGAGGAGGAGGAGGCAGTGGCAGCCAGGGAGGGGGAAGCTGCTACCTGCAGCCGCACACGTACTCGCTGCTCCGGCGTCCTGCCGCGCCGGCCGGGCTGCCAGGAGCCGCGGCCCCCAGCCAGCCCCTTCCCCCCCAAACCAGCGGGGTCCCGGGGGGCACTGACCCTGCTGCCCCCACCCAGGACCCCCCCGGGGTGCACAAACGGGGACATCCCCCCCCTCCCCCCGCCTCAGTGCTGCCAGTCCCAGCACAGCCTGGGTCAGCCTGTGCCTGTGGAGAAGCCGGTGACCCCACACCGGGGGGGGGGGGGGGGCACCCACTTTGGTGGCCCCGGGTCACTGCCCGGGAGGAATCCCCCTCACCGGGGTGGCTGGGGGGGGGGGCGTTGCAGGGTGGCACCTGCTGCTGCACCCCCCGTTCCCCCCCCCCCCCCATCCCTGCGTGCAACCCCCCCTTTCGCTACCTCTGAGCACACAGGCTAAAGCATGCGTGTGTGCAGGCACGCCCGTGTCCCAGCACACGTTATAACCCTCCCCCCCCACCCCGGCGTGGGGGTCCCCGGTGTGCCCACGCAGCCCCGGGGTGTCGGGGGGCTCCTGGTTCACCCCAGAACAGCCGGGTCGGGGCCGGACGCCGCTTGGCCACCAGCCGTGGGGACAGAGGCCAAATTCCTGCGGCCCCGCGGAGACGGGAAGCACCGGGGGGGCCGGCGAGCGCCCGCTCCCCCTTCCCGTCCCGGGACGTGTTTACAGGAGGCGGCCGGTGCCCGGAAGCACCGGGAGCTTCAGCCTTTCCCGGCAGCTCGGGGAGCCCCAAATCCCTGCCAGCCCCCCCCCCCCCCCGAGCCAAGCAGCCCCCACGCCGGTGTCCCGCGGGATGGCTGCCGGCTCCGGAGTTCCCCCCCTGCCCCGCGCTCGGCTCCTGCCCCCCCCCGCTTCGCCCCAGTTGGCCCCGGCACGGCGTGCGCCCACCCCGGCGCATCCGGCTGCGCGTGGGATCCCGTGGGATCGGGATCACCGCTGCTCTGGCTCCCCCGCCCGGTCCCCTGGGGCTTTGGGAGCCTCGCCGGACGCGCCGTGGGGTGCTCACCGACCCCGGGGGCTGCCGCTGGCAGCACCAGCATCTCCCCCCCCCCCCGTGGGTCCCGCACAGCTCCCAGTCCCCTCCCGCCCCCCCCCGCCGCGCCGCCCCGCTGCCGCCCACCCCGTTCCCACGGCCTTTGCGGAGCCGGCACCCACGCTCCCCGGCTGCGGGCACCCACACCTGGGCCCTTGTGTGGCGGGGTCTGGCCTGGGGACACCCCACAGCGGCACAGAGCTCCCCCCCAGACCCCCCACACCTCTGCCCCTTCACCCCGGGGACCCCGGCCCGCAGCACCCGGAGCTGCGGCTGTGCCACCCCGCAGCCGTGGCAGGAGCTGCCCGGCCCACGCCCAGGGTTGGGGCACCCCGAACGCCCCCCCCCCCACACACACACACCTCCCGTGTCTGTCCCCACAGCGGGACGTGGCCCCACGCACGGCCCCCCACAGCCCCGGCCGCGGCGCCAGGCGGGAGCCGCTCGCAGATCCCATCCCACGGCGCTGGGCACGGCCCAAACCCGCTCCTCAAGCACCGACATGCACACCCGCGGAGCCCGTGCACGCACACGCACCCCCAGAGCGTGTGCACACGCACACACACGCGGTGCCCGCAGGAGGCCCAGCCCCAGCCCTCAGCAGATTCGGGCACCCACAGCCCCCCACGGGCACCCACAGCCCCCCACGGGCACCCCTCACCTCGCACACGCGTGCAGCCGCACACACCTCAGCACACGGACGCCGTGGGGCTCTTGCACACGCATGACCTCCCTCGCCCAGCCCTTGCACACCCACGGGCACCCCCCACCCCCCCCCCCCCCGGTGCCCTCCCAAACCCCCCGACCATCCTCACCCTCACCCTCCCCGCAGCCTTGGCCGCGTCCTGCCCCCTCCCAGCACCGCTCCCCGCCTTCCCAGCGGGACGAGGCGCAGGGTGGGGGCCGGGGGACCCCTCACCCCACCACCCCGCACCCCCGTGTCCCCACCGGCGCCGCGGGGACAGACACGGGACACGCAGCAAAGACAGCCTCGGCGTGCAGGGGGGAGACGGTGCCCGGGGGACGCCCCACCCCCTCCGTGCAGCCCCCCCCCCCCCCCCCGCTCTCCAGGTCACCGCGCCCCCCCCACCCGGGGGGAAGCAACCCCGAGGGGCGGACAGACAGACACACAGACGGACGGACACGGGCTGCCCGGTTTGCGGCGGGAGCTGGCCCCGTGGGCACGGCAGAGTGGTGGGCACGGCAGTGGTGGGCACGGCAGTGGTGGGCACGGATCCCCCCGCCCCCCCCCCCTTCAACGCGGGGCAGGGGCTGCGGGGGGTGCAGGGCTGTGTCCGGGGGGTGGGGGGCGCGCAGGGGGTCCCGGCTCACCTGCGCTTGGGCGAGCGGCCGGCGGGCAGGGGCGAGCAGGCGAGCGGCTCCAGCAGGCACAGCACCAGGCTGACGCAACCCAGCGCCGGGGCTCTCATGGCGGGGCCGGGGCAGCGGCTCCGGGGCTGCGGGGAGAGGAGAGGGGCCGGGGGCCGGGGGCTGGGCCGGGGGCTGGGCCGGGGGCTGGGCCGGGCTCCAGCCCGCCCGCTGCCCCCCCCCCCCCGTCCCTCCCTGCCCCGTCCCGCAGCCCCGGAGGGGGAGAGGGGGGGCGGGGGTCCCCCCCCGGAGGGTCCCCGCCGTACCTGGGCCGGGGCCGCGGCTCCGCTCGGGTCCGTGTCGGTGCCTCGCCCGGCGCTGCCGCTCCCCGCCCCGGCCCAGGTTAAATATCGCCGGGCTCGGAGCGGGGCGGCGGGCGAGGAGGAGCCGAGAGGCGCGGGAGGAGCCAGGGGCGGGCGGGGGGGGCAGCCCCGCATCGCCCCCCATCACCCCGCATAGCCCCCCATCGCCCCCATCCTTCCCCATCGCCCCCATCTCCCCCCATCGCGCCCCACCCCTCCCCATCGCCCCCATCCCTCCCCACCACTCCCTATCGCCCCGCACCCCTCCCCATCGCCCCCATCGCCCCCATCCCTCCCCATCGCCCCCATCCCTCCCCATCGCCCCCCACCCCTCCCCATCTCCCCCATCCCTCTCCACCACTCCCCATTGCCCCCCACCCCTCCCCATCGCCCCCATCCCTCCCCACCACTCCCCATCGCCCCCCACCCCTCCCCATCGCCCCACAACCCCTCGCATCGCCCCCCCGGCCTCGCCGCTCCCCGCAGCCGGGCCGGGATGTGCTGTAATGGGGGGAACCATCCGGGGGGCTGGGATGGAGCTGGAGTGGGCTGGGGAGGGGGGAGTGGTCCGGGGGGGGCTGGGATGGGGGGAACCATCCGGGGGGGGCTGGGCTGGAGCTGGAGTGGGCTGGGGATGGGGGAGTGGTCCGGGGGGGGCTGGGCTGGAACTGGTCTCAGTTGGGGATGGGGGTGCTGGTCTGGGGGGAACCATCCGGGGGGGGGGGGCCTGGAATGGTGTTGGGCTGGGGGTGCAATCCTGGGGGGCTGGGGACCCATCCAGGGGAAATGGGCTGGGCTGGAGCTGGGGGAACCATCCAGGGAATCTGGATTGGGGCTGATGTGGGGGGGTCAGGGTGCCCCCCCGGCCCCCTCCCCAGCACCTGCACCCCGGTGCCCAGGCTGGCGGAGGCAGCGGGGGCCAGGCCGGGGGGTGCTGGGCCCTGCCGGGGGGTGCTGGGCCCTGCCAGCCCCCGGGAGCTGCGTTGTGCCAGGTCGTGCCGCCAAGCCCCGCCGCGTGCTGGGCATCGCGCAGCACCCCAGGAGCGGGCCCCATCCCCAGGGGCACCCCCACACTCCCCCGCCCTGTGCTCTGCACCCCGCTGCCGCGCTGAGAAGCTCAGGGGGGTAGTGGGGGGGGGTGGAGCAGAGCCCCCCAGCTCTGCTCACTGCTCCCCACACTTGGGGGGCAAACCTAGGCTGGAGGGCCAAGGCTGCATCCTGCCTCCCTGCAGCCCAGTGCTCCCGGTTCAGCCAGCACCCCCCTGCCCCGTGCTGCCCGGCAGCCCTGTCCCCTCGGGGGGCAGCACACACCGCCCCCCCCCCCCCCAGCCCGTGAGCGGGGCTGGAGCCGCTCTCCAGGGACGTGCGTCTGCACGCACCTTCTCCCAGGGCTAATTTAGGTTAATGTTTTTAACCATCACATGGGGCCTTTTAAAACAATTAAGGAATGTAATCCGCAGAGGTCAGACCAGTCCCGGCGTTCCCCCGCGGGGGGGAACCAGCTCGCCAAAACCGGGGGCGGTGGGGAGCCGCTGCCGGCGCGGCCCGGGGGACACGGGGGGGTGGCAGGCGTTGGGGCTCGGGGTGCTCCCTGGGTGCTGCTCCTCGAGCCGGGTGGGCAGAGCTCAGTGGGGGGGGGGTCCCCGCCAACCCCCTCGCTGGGCCCCCTTGCCTCCTGCTCCGGGATGGGGCCTGGGTGTCCCCAGTGCCCGTGCTGCCGGGATGGAGATGGGGTGAAGAGCACCCCCGCACCCCAGGGTGCCCGAGTCGGGGTCCGGGCCCCAGGCTGGGGGTGCCCGCGCCCCCTCCCCTGCCCGCTCCCCCCACCGTGGGCGGCCGGGGGCCTCCGCGTGCTCCGCATCGCTGGGATTCTTCCGCATTATCAGGACACAAAGGCTTCAAACACCCGGTCCCCATGCAGGGGGATTTGTGGCAGCACCTGATCAAGGGGTGGTGGGGATGGGATGGGGGGCAGCGGGGGCAGACACCCCACCCCCCCCCCCGAGTGGGGCAGTGGGTCCAGCTCCAGCCCAAAGCGGCACAGCCTTCCCCCAGCGCCGCGGCCCCCATCCCTCCGTGCGTCTCCCCGGGGGGAATTTCTGCGGCATGCCGGGCTCTTCCGCTTGTTTGTTGCTGGATTATCCCAGAGAGGGAGAAACCCGGCACGAAAACAGCGCGGCAGAGCTGCAGGCGGGGTGCACACGGGGCCGGACACCCGGCACAACCCCGGCACGGCACACGCTGCCGTGGGCTGCCACCACCGCGGCATCCCCGTGGGTCGTGCTCCGGTGGGACGTCACCCCGTGGTGTCCCCGCACGGCTCTGGCGTGGTGCTGGCGCTCCGAAGCAAACCTCGAGCAGTGCCGTGCTGTGCCGTGCCGGGGGTCCTGGCCGGGGCTTGCCCCCCCCGGCACTTCCCGGACCCTGCGCAGGTCCCAGTGCGGGGCAGTGCCAGCCGCTGCCACCCCGGGCACCGACACGGGTGACCAGGGTCAGCAGCACCAGCCTGACCCTGGGTGGGAGGAGGGGGGCTCTGGATAATTAGCATTTGCTTAATGAAGGTTACTGGGGGAGCAGCCCTCGCTGGCTGGTCGCCCCTTCCCGCGCCATGGGTGGGGGAGTGCAGGGCAGGGGGTGAGCGGGAGGTTGAGGTTCGGCTGGGATCCCTGGCACCCCTCGGATCTGGAGCTCTGGGAGCTGCTGGGGAGCAGAGCGGGAGCAAGATTGGGAGTGGGAGCGGGAGCAGGAGCAGAGCAGAGCAGGAAAGAAGCAGGAGCAGGAAAGAAGCGGGAGCAGGAGAGAAGCGGGAGCAGGAGAGAAGCGGGAGCAGGAGAGAAGCGGGAGCAGGAGAGAAGCGGGAGCAGGAGAGAAGCAGGAGCAGGAGCAGGAGCGGAGCAGAAGCAGGAGCGGAGCAGGAACAAGATCAGGAGCAGAACAGGAACAGGAGCAGAGCAGGAACAGGAGTGGAACAGGAGCAGGAGAGGAAGAGGAGCAGGAGAAGGAACAGAGCAGGAGCAGAACAGGAGCAGAACAGGAGCAGGAACAGGAGCAGGAACAGGAGCAGGAGAGGAACAGGAGCAGAGCAGGCGAGGAACAGGAGCAGGAGCAGGAGTAGGAGCAGAGCAGGAAGAGGAGTGGAGCCGGAACAGGAGCGGAGCAGGAGCAGGAGTGGAACAGGAGCAGGAGCAGGACTCTCCAGCAGCCCCCGCTCTGGACGTGCCGCCCCGGGCCCACGGCAGAGCCCGGCTGAGCCCCCCGGGGTCCCACCACGGGGTCAGGACCCTGCTCCCCTGCCCTCCTCGGGGGATCACCGCTCCTGGGGCACTGGGAAGGATCCCGGATCCTCCCACAGCCATCCCGGCAGAGCCCACCGCTGTCCGGGCTCCCACCCCCAGGGCCGTGCCACCGCCGGCCCCACAGCGGGGACAGGCCACCGCCGGCCCCACAGCGGGGACAGGCAGCACTTGCCCGCTCCCTCCCTCCTCCCAGGCAGCCTGGCTTCCAGCCATGGGAATCAATTGCTCGGTTTCAATTAGCTTAATTGCTCCTGGCTGCGGCCCCGGGGGAGGGCGGGGGCTGAGAGCAGCGGTGCTCCGCTCTCCCGCTCGATCGCCAAAACCAAACCGCGCTCCTGCGGGGCAGATGCGTGGAACAGGAGGAGTGGGGTGGGCTGCACCCCCTGGCAAGGCCCACACGCACCCGTCGGGGCCCAGGAGGGATGGGGGGGGGGGCGGGCAGAGCATCCCCAGTGCACCCAGTGTCCCTAGTGGTCCTCCGGGCAGGGGCTGTATGCCGGGGGGCCGGCGTCCTGTCCCCTAGCCCCACTGGGACCCTCGTAGCCATATCCCCCGGCCCCCCTGGGTCGGCAGAGTGTGGGGTGACGGGGGGCTGCCAGGGGCGGGGGCCGGAGGAGCCACGGCCGTGTGTGACGCAGGCGAGCAGGAAGGTAAACACGGCTTTACCGCGGGTGCCGGGCCGGCAGCGATGGGTGCGGGAACGGGCGGCACCCTGCCCCGGCCTCGCTGAATCACCCGGGGCACCCAGCACCTCTCCCGCTCCTCGCGCGGGCGCTGCGCTGCGCCCCACGTCCCGGCAGAGCCCCACGCCCCGGCAGAGCCCCCCGCCCAGCGGCTGACCCCCACGCACGGAGGGGAGCCGTGTGGGCATGGGCCGGGGGTGCTAAGGAGGGCTCGCAGGGGAATCCCCCCTCCCAGCTGGGAATTTGGGGGGATCTCCCCAGCAGCCACGTGGGAACCGGCCGTTGGCCTCTGCCGTGGGGGGAACCGGTGGCAAACACCCCGCTGAAACCCGGCTGCTCACGGCACAGCGCGCCGCTGGGGCGGAGGGACCCCGGGGTGGGGGGCTCTGCCACCCAAAACGTGCCCACCCCCATGCACCCTGAGAGCCCATGTCCCAGCTCCGTCTGGGGGATGTGGGGCTTGGCAGCCCACCGGCAGCACGTGCGTGGCTGCGACCCCCAGCCCCATCGATCCCTCCCCCCGAGGAAGGGCCGGGGGGTGCTGAGCCCCCCAAGGACGAGGGAGGATGCCCGGCCTGAGGCGACGGGAGTTTGCTGGGTCCCTGCAGCATTTCCAGAGCTGGCCCTCCCCGGCGTGGCACAGACGGGGACACACCAGGCTCCTCTGCCCGCAGCCCCCACTGCCGGGGGGCACAGTGGGTGCCCCATTGCCCCCCCCCACCAAAGCAGCGGCCCCAGTTCCCCTGCCCCAGCTCCTCCAGCCGCCCCGGGGCTGGGAGCACCAGAGCGGGGGCGCAGGGATGTCCAAACCCACCATCGCCCGGCCCTTCCCGAGAGATTTGAAACCCAAATGAAGGTTTCAGGTGCTGGTGTCTGACAACGGGGTGCAGGGCAGAGCCCCCCCCCCCCCCCCGCTGTTGCTGAGCCGGGGGAGCAGGGTGGAAAGCAAGGTGATGGGGTTCGTTGATGACGGGGTGCCGGGGCCAAGCAGTAGCGTCAGGCTGAATCACCGCTGGGAAGCGCCGAGGGATGGGACGGGGGCTGCTGGGCCCGCTCGGCCACGGGGTCCCCAGCCGAGCTGTAGGGTCCCCAGCCGAGCCACGTGGTCCCCAGC